CCGCAAGTGGCAAATCTCCAAGTGGATAAAACATTGACCAAGTCCTTCACAATTAGAAAGATTTAGCAACTTGAAATTAGATTAAAAGAAATTGATCACAAGAATGAATATGATTTCAAACACTCACAAATCACACCAAAATTCACTTCCCTTCCAATAACACCTCAATCAGCTCCTCTTCAAAAACATAAACAGAGACCAAATAAATCATTCAAAAACATTTAGTGCCAATTGACTTTGAAACCAATCCTCTTGAAACTTTAAAGACAAATATTGTTTGCAAAAGAATTTAATCGCAAAAGAATTTAATCTTAAAAAGAGCTATTAATTGAAGTTCCTAAATCAAAGACTGACGCACATGAACTTGAGATTTAAGAACCATTATTCGTTCATGCATACTATCTTTACTATTGAGACCTTACCAGATGACACTTGTAAAAGCAGTTCCATCTGATGATCTTATACAATAGAGGATGGTTCCTACTCCAATTGAAATTCAAGTCTTTGGAGATGAGTTGATTTTATCTTGTTGTATTGCCACTAAAACATGTCAATTGTGTCGCCTTCATCTTACTGCTGCATAGGCTATCAACCTTGTTATATTGATAAGAATGCATGATGGTTGGTTATCATAATACTGTGAAGCCTAAAATGAAGCCTCTAGGTCTACTTGTGCTTTCAAATATCATTCTCCAAGTTACAAAGTTCAAAGTTGCCTTTTCCACCACCATAGACACACATTTCAATTCTTAATTATTCCAATAGAATATCCTCCCTTTTTTGAAAACATTATGCTTTTACCTCAACTTATATTTCTTTTATTTCATGTCATGGTATATTTCATGTGTCAGAACACCATGATTTTGATAAATTAGTCCTTTTCGCACAATATTCCATCTATTTAAAGGTTCATCAAGCTTGTTAGTTATCATAATATTGTACAATAAAATCAATCATGTTTGTGATCAGAAAACCTTGGCGCTCCCTCCCTCTCTCTCTCTCTCTCTCTCTCTCTCTTTCTAGCACACGATGATGTGGGTCCGTCACAATTATCATTTTTTCTTGATGCAAATCATCATGAGTTCAAGCCAAAATATTTTTTAAGATATAATTACACTTCATGTTTAAAATATTGGGGGATTTCCATACATATTACATACCACACAATTCATATATATTTACATATTTAACACCTAAATTTTGCTATTTACTCATAATAGTTTAGTGCATGTCTCCAATACATTAAAGCTTATGCATGAAAATATGTATTTCACTTCAGAAAAATTAATATTAGTAGCATTTTTTATGTGATTTAAATATTCGCATAATAAAATTTTGGCATCAGGTATAAAAATTCATAAGAATTGTGTAGTAGTATGTAAATGAATCCCCCAAAAATATTTAATAAGGGTACATTATATCTTTTTGCAGTTTTTTAGTCTTGAATATTTGAAGTAGATATAGAGAAACCTGATCTATAAACAATGCCTTAGGATTGAATGAATCAAGTGAAGATAATTGAATGAGAAATATCTTGTCTTGTATCCTCCTCTTTTCTTCCTCCTCTCTAGCATGATTTTGTTCCTCTCTTCATAGGTTTGCATAAAATTTCTTCCTCTCTCCACTGCCCTCTCCCACTTTGGATTATTGTATAACCATTAACCAAAATCTAAAATCAACCTTAACAATCATTCTTTAAATCCTCTATACATTATTTGATATTAGAGCAAAATCCAATGCAGACTCTTTATAGTGAATCCAAAAAATTTGCTTTTAAGTTAGAACATCTCCATTGTCCTCCCATGCCTTCAAACACTTTTTCGAATCGCTTTCTTATATCCCACGAAACTTATGAACATATTTTAATAAAAAATTTCAACAACATAAACAAATTTTAACTTTCACAAAATAATGTTATTCTCAATCATTTACCCTATTAAATTAACTTGGAATTGAATAATTTTTTTATGGATCTTCCAAACATCATCCATCCAAATCAACTAATGCTATACTTCCAAAATATAATTTCAAAAAGTTTTAAAATATTATTGATTCTTGTGCTGATGTAAATGCTTACATGGCCTATATAAAATAGAAAAGTATTCCATAAATGCTAAGAGAATTCAATATATGCTAGCTACTAGAAAATCTCCCATCAAAGCTAAAATAATGCATGAGAAATGAAAATTTCCTTTTCATGTTTAGGTTTGTTTGGGGAGCAAAATTCCTCCAAATCTTGAGGCATTCCAAAATCACGTAACCTTTCTATCAACCCAAACAACCTCAAATTCTTGAGTTTAATTATGCTCCACCACCATCCTCTCCCACCTCAATTATCAGCCACAGCCTTCTTTCCATTACCAACCAACTTCTTCTCCACCTCCCAACACCCCTAATATTTCCACCCACAGATCCACCAAATTTCCTTCCATGTGTACTCAAAATTTGCAAAAAGATAATATTGTCTGAGTTGTATACAATCATGCAATTCACTTATTCACGGCATATCTATTTTTCTTATAAAAGCTAATCTCCTTTCTAAATCATCTTGTTCCTCATTGCTATCACATCAATCACATCTATACCATAATTATCACTTTATTGGCTGCCATCTTTGGCCCAATTAAGAAATATAAACTTTCCCAAGTAAATAACAAGTAAACCATTTTCATATAATACCATAACTTTCTTACACCCTCCACAAATGGCTTTTATTAGTCTCATGACCAAGTTTTATGATGAACTTTACTCCTACTCCAAGTCATCTAAGAAGTATGCACTTCCTGGTCCTCAATTGCCAGTCATTGGCGTGAACTCCATGGTGCCGACGACTGGGAAGATCTTCTCGATCCTCTAAACCTTAATCTCCTCCGAGAACTCCTCTGTTACGGGGAGATGAATATGAGGGATCAGATTGGAGTAGGTGGGATAGGGTGCTTGTGTTTATCAATGGTGCTGGGGGTGAAGGTCGGAGAACGCATTCGAGGTTGGCGAGATGGGAAAGGGTTTTGCTGGTTGGGGGTATGGATAGAGAGACGGAGATGGCGGCTCGGGTGGTGACGATGGGCTTAAGTTGCAAGGATCGGAAACTCGCTGGGAAATTATGAGGGGAGATCGGCGCCGGAAGGGATGAGATGACAGTTGCGGCGGATTCAATTTGCATGAGAGAATATTTACGAAGAATCTATATAAAGTTTGGATGCCTTCTAGAGGCCTCCAACGAATATTGATCTGATGGGATTATCTCATTATAAGTCGTTGCTGAGGAAAAAACACTAAGTGTATTAAGGTTGATAGAAGCACCCAGTCGCCCCCTAAAGCTCCTTTGATCTAATTTTTGGACTGTGTTTAAGCTTATGGAAGCAATGCATTTGATTTTATTACAGCTTTCATCGAATCTCCTCTTGACTTTCGACCGTTGTCGGACTTTCTCCCGATAGCCAATTGACTATGGGCTTTTGTCCGTCTGCTAATTATCATCTGATCCCTAACTATCATCGGACCTCTGTCAAGTATTCTCTCGACTGTTGTTGCCATAATTTTAATATATGTCATTCAATTAAGACCAGGAGTACCCATCTAAAGTTTGGTCCGTTTTCCAATGATTTGTAATTCGGTGGACTTTTGTAATTTGTTCAAATATTATTGAAAACATTTCAACTGGGTAAGGCCTCGTGACTTTTCCCTTTTTGAGAGTTTTTCACTTAAAAAAAAAGAAGTACGCACTTCCTACCCATTCCTCGTCACAACCTAAAACATATAACGATCATAAGTTTGTTTTGTCTATATGTCACCAAGTTAGGTTTTTTGAGCCTACTCATTACTACTTACATTCTTCTTCCCCTAGCAAATCTCATTATTTGAGAAGTACTAGTGCATCTTATTATGATTATGAGTGGCTATATTAACCTTCTTGTCATATGGATATGATTATGATAATTGTTTTCATTATAGATCTTACTGGTATTCATCTTATGCTTATGAATTTAATGCACAACCAGATTTTTATCAATCATCTAATTCAACATCTTATATTGATACATATGATCAAAAAACTCAACAATAAGACACTTTTAGCTCTAGCAAAAATGCTCTCATGAATGAACTAAAAGTGTTAATTACACAAAGACAATCCCCTTCTACCCATCCTTTACATACCAAACAACAACCACATTCTAGAATTCCTTTACTCCAAAAATATGTGATTGAACTTTGTGCTTCTAATTTATATGTCAATGGTCATCGCAAAGATTATTATGATAAAGAACAATTACTTTTGATGATTTCAACTATAAGGATGTTTATGATGTACCATGACTTAGGTTTGCTACATTTCTAAAAGTTGTGACAAAGCCTACTTTTGATGGATAACAGACCAAGACCAGCAACTTGAGGCTGATCTTGTGCCATAGCCAGATAGAGTTGCATCAAATTTTGTTGACATTCCTTCAACTAAGCTTTGAGTAGTGGGGTTCCATTTCCAATGATCCTAGCTCCCCCAGCTAAGCTTCTAATATTGGTCCCATCTCCAATGACAAAAACCCCTCCCGCCCTCTCACACAGCCACTACACGTCCAACAACAATTACATGAAGAGAGAAAGAGCTTTATCAGCTACCATTTTGCAAAAATATGTATTCAAGAATAACAAATACCTAAGATAAATAAACATTTAATGAATACCTAGCAAAAAATTGCTTAAAGGGAAAGCAGCTTGATTCAATATTTCCAAATGAAATATTGTAAAAAGATTCAAAATAGTTTGCAGCATATGTAACGCACGTTTAAAAGAACACTATAATTATAGTATCATACCAACAATATTAAGATCACAAAAAATATATGATGCTTTAAATAATTGGATTTCTAGAAAACTAAATGTCATTTTTCAAGGAAGAACCGAACATAGCCAAACTGCAAACTCAACCGAAATTTCAAGATAAAAATTTTCAGGAGAGAACATATCGAAAATAGAACAAGCAAAATTGTTGGACAGATTTGAAAAAGATAAAAAAAGTCATGTAACCTGTATATCCAATCTCAAAGATAGAATAACATAAGTATCAATGACATAACAAAACTTGACAAACTGGTAGCGAAAGTAGCATAATGCAGACAAATTAAATAATGCGTTCAATAACTGAAACAAGGTTGCACTAACAGAGTTCATTCAACGGCGCTCTGAACATCTAAAGCAATCCCCGAAAAAAATAAGCAAAGATGGAGGAGACCCCAAACTGTAGACCTAACGGTAAGATTTCTGAAACCTTGCACGAGCGCCGCGACCACCGAACTTCTTGGGCTCGCAGCGGCGCGGATCAGCAACCAACAGTGTACGATCATACCTAATGAAGATGTCCTTGACCTCCTTCTTGGAGTGTTCATCGACGTACTTCTGGTAGTAGGCAACAAGAGCCTTGGCGATGCTCTGGCGAATGGCGTAGATCTGAGATGTCTTACCGCCTCCACGGACACGGATGCGCATGTCGACGCCACGGAAGCGCTCTATGCCGGCGAGGAGGATCGGTTCGAAGGCTTTGTAGCGGAGGATCTCAGGTTTCACGAGTTCGATCGGCACGCCGTTAACCTTGATCAAGCCCTTTCCAGCCTTGCAATGAGTAACGGCAACCGCCGTCTTCTTGCGTCCAAAACACTGGACGGAGTTTGCTGCAACCTTTGTCGCCATGGACGTCGTCTTCAACAGTCGATGAAAAGGGAAGATGAAGCAAGAGAAGGCCGGCGGCGTGCGAGTGGAGACGTACGATATGAAGAGTGACAAACTAGGGTTTTTAATCAAAGCTTTCTTTAGTTCTGTACTCTTGTCCAACTTATTTCTATTAAGCCCAAAAGGCCCAAACAACAGCCCGACATGCCCCCAAGATTAACCAGGTCTTGTTGGGTCCATAGGCCGCCTTAATATAATTGAATGCGGGTTAATGCTGGTTTTGGACGGATTTCTTATTACTTCTTAAAATAGCTTTTTATTACAAAAATTAATTTTTTTTTTTATAAAAAAATTACTTTAAGAAGTAGTAAGAATTTCATTCCAAAAGAAATCTTACTCGAGCAGCCGTGCTCGACTGGTTCAATTAATAGGGGGCTCGAACTCGAGTGCGATTGAGTCAAGCTTGTACATTGAGCTTAGCTTGAGTCTTGAAAATAAATGTAAGCTCAAGCTCAATTCGTTAAACTAAACATGAGCTCGAGATTATAAAAAAAAACTCGTCAACATTATAGAAGGATGCAGAAGGTGTTGTAGCAGCAACTAGCAGGAAAAAAGCCAATTATAGGTAGAAGTCACCAATGGAGCTTGGAGAAATTATTTTGTGCGGAGTTTGAACGGGAACAACCGTCTGGACTATGAGTATACACATTGTGTATACATAGTATGTACAATAATTTTTTACAACCTATATATAAATATGTACACATTGTGTACACTCATATATCTGTACTGTTATTCCCGTCCGGACTCCGCAGAGAATAATTTCTCTGATGGAGGAGTGCCACTCTATTTTTTAAGGGACAAAAATTAATATTGTTAGCTTTATGCTACAAAGATGCTTTAATGCAAAAAATGGCACAAATGAAGCTTTAATGGAATAATGACAGCAATTGTGCCTGCTTAGCTTTCAAAATTAAAAAAAAAAATGCCATTTAATGTTGGAAATGAAAGCAGCATTATTTATCTCCTGCTCTTAATTTTTATTTTAAATACTAAACATATTATTTTTGAATAATTCGAGCGGGCTCTTTAGCCAACAATCCGAGTTATGTCAAATTTGAACTCAAGCTTGTTTTATATTGAAATTCAAGTTTGAGCTCAAGCTCAAGCTCGCGGCTTAATAAGCTCAATTCGTGAACTCGTTAATGAATCGAGTTCACTCACTCATTTACATTGGTGAAGCATATGTAAATGATAAACAAGTGTAATTAGTGTAAATGCTAAATAAGTATTATATTTGCAGCCAATCTTCATATTATCACCAGCCCTATATTCAAATAAACACTAATCAATATATGAATTATCATTAGAAAAATAACAAATAAGCAAACACTTAGCAGCTATGAGCCAATCAAGTCTCCTATTAGATCTTAATGGTGATCAATCACTATAGAGGATCAACATTTAGGCTTTGTTTGGGACGGCTTTTTTTCTATTTCTTAAAGCAGTTTTATAGTACAAATTTTTTTAATTTTGTACTAGAAAACTGCTTTAAGAAGCAAAAAGAAAACCGTCCCAAACGAAGCCTTTGAAACCCATTTACAAAAGGCGGATAAGCAATAACTAAGGTTTCGTTTGTGATGGTTTTCTTCGTGCTTCATAAAGCAGCTTTCAAGTATAAAAACTGCTTTAGAAAATAGTAAGAAAGTCGTCTCAAACAAAACTTAAATGCCTACAATGAGCAAATAGTATCAACCAATTCTAATTAAAAGTGCCCAAAGTCCAAATGGCATGGGATGACTCACAATACACATAACATAGTTTTATGCATTGTTAGAGCAGATAAATTAAATAACCAATCTTGCTTCCAATCATAGCTTTACACGTGTACTCATTATCTTACTTAAACACTATATATATATATATCTGTCATTGTTGTAACAGTGGGATAAGCAAATATACAAATCATATTCTGTTATGTTCTTTATCATTGTTCTCCCTGTCTTCGGTTTCTGCATGGTATCAGAGCAGCCTCAAGCACTCTCGGCCACGAGCAGTTCGTCCTATGCTTGGCACCTGAGGCTCGGACATCCTCATTACAGGACTTTACAATGTAATTCCTGCAATTCTTGTAAAACTCATAAACTACCATTTGAACGATCTCTTACTAGTACCAATGCTCCACTAGATCTGGTTAACTCTGACGTTTGGGGACCATCCCCTGTTTCCTCTCAACAAGGATTCCAATATTATGTAATATTTGTAGACGATTTTTCTCGATTTACTTGGCTATACCCGCTCACGTATAAATCTGATGTAATTAATGTTTTTATTCAATTTGTTAAGTTTATTGAACGACAAACCTCTCGTAAGCTTAAAATAATCAGAACTGATGGCGGCGGTGAGTTTGTAAACAAGAGATTTCAAGAATTCACAAAGACAGCCGGAATCAAGCATCAAACATCTTGTCCATATACTCCGGAGCAAAATGGAGTTGCCAAACGAAAACATCGGCACATCATTACCACCACGAGAACTCTTATTCAAACAGCTAGTCTACCGATGGTACATTGGCTCGATGCTGCTTCCACTGCCACGTATATTATCAATCGCCTACCATCCACAACCACCGGCAATCTGTCACCGCTACAACGAATGTTCAACATTACACCTTCTTATGATCACCTTAGAACATTCAGATGCGAGTGTTATCCACTACTGCCTCCGACAAATCGAACCAAACTTACACCACAATCGGTGGCGTGTATTTTCTTGGGTTATTCCGATAGCATGAAAGGCTAAAAATGATATAATACGGTCACAGGTAATACTATAGTCTCTCGGCACGTCAAATTTAATGAGACTGTTTTTCCCTGCATCAACAGGTCTTCCCACATTCCTATGGGCACAACCAACATACCTCCTCCACTGCTCATTCCCGCGTCTACAATACAGCAACACACTCAAGTTCATAAACAGCAAGCCATGCCGCTACCACACTGTGTTCCACCTGCTCTTCAATCTAACAATATTCAAAACAACAGTCAGGCAACGCCTGAAGCACCTACTCTTCACAATACTCATCCTATGACTACGTGTACTAGAACCGGGACACTTAAACCAGTTCAAAGGCTTAATCTTCTTCATCAGGAACAAACTTCAAGTGATCCTACAAACTACAATGAAGCTTGCAAGAAAATTGAATGGTGAAATGCCATGGAAGACGAATTTCTAGCTCTCCATAAACAGGGTACTTGGGCGTTGGTACCACCACCTTCAAACGGCACCATAATCGGCTCCAAATGGACATACCGAACGAAATTTAATTTCGATGGATCAATAGCTCGATTCAAGGCATGTTTGGTGGCTCAAGGCAACCAACAGGAACTTGGAATCGACTACAATGACACCTTTAGTCCGGTCGCTAAACTACCGACTATATGCATCCTATTCACGATAGCGCTATTTCACAAATGGAAAGTTCACCAACTCGATGTTGCTAATGTATTCTTACATGGTGACATCAACGAGACCGTTTATATGCGTCAACCGAAGGGATTTGAAGACACCTCCAAACCAAATCATGTGTGTCTTCTACGAAAGGCAATATACGGTCTACGTCAAGCTCCACGGCAATGGTACACTACGTTCACCTCATATCTTCTTCAAATCGGTTTTCAACAAAGCCAAGCGGACACGTCCCTCCTACTGTTGCACCGGGATCAACTTCAAATCTACCTCCTCGTCTATGTGGATGACATATTAATAACCGGTAACAGCAGCCAAGCCATGATTGATCTTATTGATCAATTAAAATCCAAATTCACTATGAAGGATTTAGGTGCAGCACATCAATTCTTAGGCATCAAAATTGAATCCAATCAAGACACTACAGGAAAAACGCCGAAATCTGGTTGTTTTTTCCGGCGGTTACTCTATATTAACCGGCGGTTTTTTGCAGTACCGGCGGCTTCATGGCGATTTTTTGACCGCCGAAAAAAATCGTGTAGGAAACTTTCACCGACGGTTTTTTACCGGCGGTTTATTATGGCGGCGGTTTACCGACGGCTTAGACCGCCGGTTACAGGCGGATTCTGAACCGGCGGTCTTCCGGCCGTGAGACCGCCGGTTATTTGACCGACGGCTTACCAGCGGTCAATATACCGACGGGTTTCCGGCGGTTTAGTTGGGCGTCGTTTGTTTTTGAAACCGTCGGAAGGCGCCGGTAGACCGCCGGTCTTTTACCGGCAAATGCGGCGGTTTTCGGACCGCCGTTAATACCTGCGGTTTAACGTATAAAAAACACCGGCAGACCGCCGTTAAACGACGGCGGTTTAACCGCCGGCTATACCGCCTGTAACACTGGCGGTCCATAAACCGCCGGTTGGAACCGCCGGTAATAGCCATTTTTTCTGTAGTGAGATAAGTATTTTCTTTCCCAATCTCTTTATGCTAAATCAATCGTTCAAATGGCCGGATTGTAGAATTGCAATTCGATCGCTAACCCTTCCTTTTCTAAACCCATTGTTACAGAAACGGATGATCAATCGTGCTTTGACGCACCACTGTACAGGCGTATCATCGGCTCCCTACAGTATTTAACATTGACGCGGCCAGACATTGCTTACACAGTCAATGTTCTCTCGCAACACATGCACGATCTGGCTCTGCAACACACTCTAATGCTCAAGAAGTTGATAAGATACATCAAAGGTTCTACAGACCTCGGTATACCCATAACCAGATCAAACCTTCAGCTCCGAACCTTTTCGGAGGCCGACTGGGCGTCCGATCCAGTCACCAGGAAGTCGACGTCGGGCAATTGCACTTTTCTGGGCAACACATTAGTTTCATGGACAGTTAAAAAGCAATCTACCGTCTCTCGATCGTCAACAGAATCAGAATACCGGGCTTTGGCAGCAGCCACGGCGGACACGCTTTGGATCAGACGATTACTTTTGGACTTCCGCATCACCTTGTCCAACCCGGTAGACATATTCTGTGACAACATGTCTACTATAGCTTTGGCAAATAACCCTATTTTTCATGCTAGAACAAAGCATATTGAAATCGATCAGAGATTCATTCGGGACCATTTACAGCAAAAACTTATCAAACTGCTTCCTGTCAGCACAATAGACCAACTTGCGGATATACTCACAAAACCGTTATCCACTAATCGGTTCAAAGTTTTCCGCTCCAAACTGACTGTTAGCACTTACTCGTCAGTTTGCGGGGGAATGTTAGAGCAGATAAATTAAATAACCAATCTTGCTTCCAATCTTAGCTTTACACGTGTACTCATTATCTTACTTAAACACTATATATATATCTATCATTGTTGTAACAGTGAGATAAGCAAATATACAAATCATATTATGTTATGTTCTTTATCACTGTTCTCCCTGTCTTCGGTTTCTTCATGCATGAATGACGTAATTACATAATAAAGTGTCTTATGGCTCATTACCAATAAAATTAAAAAAAGATAAGCAAGTGATGAAGCATTTTCCCTTAATAAGGCACATGTTGATATTTTCCATTCCTTTAGTTGCTAAAATTATACTAGTTGTTGTAGGCGACCTCAATCCTATTCTTATCTTTGATAATTTTGACTTCTTATCTTTTTTTTTCCAAAGTTGATAAAATATTATATCTTACAATCTAGACAATTTTTATTGTGCACGTTTTGATAGGTTATATGTATAATTATTCTGCATATTTTTGATATGATCGCCCATTATTTTCACCATTTATTTTGGAAATTATTATATTTCATATATTTTAATGAGTATATTGATTTTAATAGAATTTGCTATAGTTGATAAAAAAAGCTTCTAAATGTTACATATGAATATTATGATTAGTTGATTTCCATGCAAAATATAACCTCGTGAATCTTATTGCAAAATTATGTTATAGACAAGTATATGTATCGTAAATGATTGTCAATACTGCATAAATGACATGAGATATGTGTAATTATTAGAGTTAGGTGTATTTCATATGAATTATATGTGGTATAATGTTTGTAAACAAAAAAAAAAAAAACTAATTCAATATGATTTTGTTTAATGAAGATATATGTTTCTATACATGAGTGGAAGCTGATGGGATTTCTTTAATTATGGGTTAGTGGTTAAAGAAATCCCATCTATGATATGTAGAGTGATAGAAAAATATGATATGATATGAAAATGGGTGTCGACGGGCTGGGGGAGGATGACGACTCTTATGTATGATATGATATCCTAGCTACTCCGACATGAATTGTATAAGGAAAACACCACAAAATGAGCAAGATATCGTAACTCACATATTATAGTATACAAATATGAATATATAGATTTTCTAAATATTAATTACATGATATGATATTATAGTGGTACAAGTTCATAATGCATATGATTGTTGAATCTCCTCGGCAACGGCAGAAGAAGAAATATGAAAACAAAAGATTAACTGAAGAGAAGAATAGAAGAAGATTGAGGTTAGCCTTGAGTACTGTTCATTGTTATGTGAAAAGCTAATGAATTATTACAGCCTTAAAGAATATATGTAGCAGAGTTGGTTAAGAACCAACGCTCAAAATTTAACAGCAGTAATGTAGTGGCTAAGTTAAAAAGAGATACAAGAATGTTTCAGATGCAGTGGAGCAGCAAATCGAGAACTGAGCCGACTTATGCATAGACTAAATAACTTCTCAATTCTCCTTATCAACCCCCCTCAAGGTAACAATAGTTGGTTGTATTGTTAACTTGTCACGAAGTTGAGAATAGCGGGTAGCATTGAGAGGTTTAGTGAAGAGGTCAGTTGGTTGATCTTGAGAGCAGATATGATGCACTGTAATATATTGTGATCGAATGCAATCTCGTATACAATGAAAATCAATTTTCATGCGCTTGATTCTTGCATGAAATATGAGACTCTTGGCCAAGATGATCGCAGCGACAATCAAAAGGCATTCTACATTATAAACACTAATTAAAAAAACACTAATTATTAAATTTATGTTTTGTTCTAGTAACTATAATATTGATTTTAAAAATAGTATCTAGCAAAATATGATCGCCTACAGATTCTTTGATGCCGAAAAACATTGAAAGAAATAAATTATATGTAATATTGGATGTTAATAAATGACTTGATTTACCAACTTAATCCTAAAAATTCGGATTTGAGTTGACCCGCTAACTCAATATTGACTTGAACGTGACTCGTTTAATATTTTTCCCCTTAAATCCTTTCCCTTTTTGGCAAGATCTTATTATTATTTTTATCAATTACCTAAATTTATAGTTGACAAGTTATAAATATAAATCAAATGAGTTGGTTTGGGTCATTCGGTTGCCAGCGGGTCGAATTTGGATCCACCATTTTGACTCATTTTTTAAACAACTCAAATCAATTTCAAGTTGGACCTAAATCTGACCCACCCATTGCTATCCCATTTTAACACCCCTAATATAAGATAATCTATTTCTAAAAATACTTAGTAGAAGAATCAAATACTTTTAATACATTCCTTATCTTAGAATTACTTCTCTCAAGTACTATTTACCTACCATCCAACTAATTTCTGTAACTTTTTAAAATAAATCATGAAGAACATGTACAAAATACAAGGTACTATCATACATATAGTAGGTAGAATTTTACTTAGGTTTCATACAAGTATGACGCCTTGTAGTTGACACTTCAACTAATTGTGTTGACTAGCCAACTTACTTCGTATGTGCATTTGGCTTTTACTATAGGCTGTTCATTTTCTAACAATTACTTGACTCAATTCATGTCTGATTCCTCTCTCATACGGCACGACTCCTTAAACGGGAAGAAAATAACTATGTGGCCCTACACGTGTGGGATTGGTTGCTGGTAGGTCCACCGAGGGATTAATTACGCCGTCATACTCCTCCTTTGGATGAATTATTTTGTGTGGACGTCGAACACCGCCCCCAATGAAAGTGTGCCACGTCACTCCCTACTCGGTATCGCGGCTCGGTACTACTTGATACTGGATGACATGGCTGCACCTAATTTGTCTGTGGACGGTAAGATGTGCCCGGTATCCGCACAGAATAATCTCTTCCTCTTTTAAGGATGACAGTGTGTAGATATCCATTCAAAAAAAAAACAAAAAAAAAAAAAAACAACCAAACTCTTTAGGACCATCATAAATTAATGTCTTAATATATGTTGCAAATTTAAACTTTGAATCCATTTTCCTCATTAATTCTTCTCCTCTTCCACTGCAAGCGGGGACACAGTCATAATGGATACAACGAAGAGAAACGGAAAGAGATCACAAAGACAGAGAACGCTGTGCTTCTCACAGCATGTAAGACAATTAAACAAAGATAAATAAAGCATACGAAATCCAAATACACCGTCAACACCATAGAAGAAATTAAAGACAGTATAACAACCAATAAACACTTGTTCAGCTAACACGGCGGCAGAGAGTAATGCCATCACTGACCGGAAGCTGACAGATCTCCACGCGCTTATCTGCGGCCAAGGCCTTATTCAACTCGATCACGAAATCGCGGTAATATCTGATATATTTCCGCATGGGCGTGTCGGCCGGCTCCGCCACGGAACCATTCCATAGCGTGTTATCGTAGCCGATCACGCCGCCGAGCTTAACGAGGTCGATAAGGCGTTTATGGTAGTTGAGGTAATTATCTTTGTCGGCGTCGACGAAGATGAAGTCGAAGGAGCCGTGGCTGTTCTCATCCTTAAGGAGCTCGTCGAGAACAGGGAGGGCGGGGCCTTCGCGGAAGTCGATCTTGTGAGCCACCCCGGCTTTCTCAATCACCGGGAGGCCGAGTTCGTAGTTCTCCCGGTTTATATCCATGGCGAGAATCTGCGCCATTTTTATATATGTTATTTTTAATGATTTGTTTTTTGTAAAAAAATAATCTTTTTGAAGAAATTAGAACAATATGAACATTAATGGGCTCTTTTCGCTTGATTTGAAGATAAATTTATGATTTTTTATATGCTATTTAAGAGAAATTGATACCTTGCCATCGTCGGGAAGAGCGAGGGCGGTGGCAAGGAGAGAGTAGCCTGTGTATACGCCAATCTCCATCGTCTTCTTCGCATTTATCAGCTTTAAAAGCATGCTCAGAAATTGTCCCTCATCCGCTGATGTGGTCATCAGATTCCTTCATCCAACATAATATAAATACCCAAATTAATATATATTTTTTACGTTTTTCTGAAAGAGCTCTGTCGGATCTAAGAAATTAGAAGCATAAGAAATTAGAAGCATAAACTAACCATGGATGCTTAGCTGTGATCTCTCGGAGCTCCTTCATGCTCTCTGGCTCACGGGGGTAGACGCTCGTCTCCAAAATATACTGCAAATAAATATAAGATAAACTGAGAAATAAATAAAAATCGTACCTTTTTATATTTATTTTGAGATTAATAAAATAACTAATTATAATTTTATCAAGTTTATTTAAAAGCGAATTTCATGAATAGAAAATCCCCTGATTTGGCGCACCTGATAGAGAGCATCGCTTTTAAGAAGACTCTTATGGCCGACCTCTTGATGTCTGGTCTTCTGCTCTCCGTTCTGGTTCTCGGCCTTAGTTTGAACCTCCGCGGTGGCGGTCGCCATGGCCGCCTTCTGCTTTCTCTTTTCTCTCTGTTTTCCTCTTCGCTGTTGGGGAAGTAGAAGACGAGCGGAGGATTAGTGATTTGGGGAAGAATGAAGGGGAAAATACATATATAAACTGGGTGGAAGTGAATAGTCCACGGGGCCAATAGCATTTAAGGTTGTGGGCCCCAGCACTCCGAGTGTTCGGGTGGCCCGGTGGGCATGGGATGGGTGAGCGGTTTTATTTATTTGGTTTTTTATTCGGAAGGCGCGGTAGATTCTGGACCGGTCCGAGGGTGTGGGGCCCGCTCACCAACCGCGCATTGTATTGTAAAATATGACTCACAATAATGCAATCGTGCTGTCCACTTTGGAATCAGAGAATCCACTTTTACGAGAAATACCTATCGTATATAACGCAATAAATAGGTGATGTGTCATATTTTGATTCGTCTCTTAATGGCGTGCGAATAAACACAGAGATTATTGAATCAGAATTTGATGTGTCATCAGTTACATAGCCGTGATACACAACAAATAAATGATATGACATGTTCTGATTCGTCGTCTGTAACGTCTGGAATATGCACATAATAATTTCACTTGTGAGAGAGCATTTCTCCTCTTTTAATTAATTTTATTCTACTTTTTTTTTTAATTCTACCTACTTTTCTCATGTCCTAAGATCCGAAAATCATAGGACTTTAGAGGAAAAGAAAATATATGGAAGACTTTGAGTCTTTGATAAACATCATCAATAAAAAATTTAAATGATTGCATTTGCGAAAGAACAATATTCACAATTTAGTATGGAAGGGCTCCACAAATTCATTTATTTATTTATTTTTTAATTAAATGGGTGCGACTGTACCAGCAGCAGTGCCCTGAATCTATTAAAATTTTACTGTTAAATGTGTTTGGGCAAGAATAGTAATAGAATGGATGACATCTTGGAAAGTCTGTGTTATGCTCCCTTTTGATGTACTTTTTACTCTAAGTAAGACACATTAGAAAAAAAAGATTATGTAGCCAACTCTACGTAATCAGATAAAAGCTTGATGTTATTATTGGTATTGTTTTAGAACTAAAAAATTTTTATAATAAAAAATTGATTTAAAAAGTAGCATGAAAGTTGGCCTAAACTAAGCTTAGTTTGGGACGGATTTTCTATTGCTTTCTAAAACGGAGTTTTAGTACAAAAATAAAAAAATTTGTACTAAAACTCCGTTTTAGAAATCAATAAAAAAGTCATCCCAAACGAAGCCTAAGACTTAGTTTGAGGTGGTTTTCTTATTACTTTTTAAAACAGTTTTTTAGTACAAAAGTTTTTTGAAATAAAAAATTTTGTTATAGAAAACAGCTTTAGAAAGCAATAAGAAAGCTATCACAAATGAAGCCGAAGCCTAAAAATGAACTTTAAGATTAAAGAAGTTATGATCATAATGAGAACTCTAATAGCATTAAATTTATTACAATAAAATGATAAAATACAATAAATTAACAATTCTAAAGAATTAAGTTGATTTTTTTACATTTAATAATTTTTATCTACCTATTAAAATAAAATAAAAAAACATAGATATATTTTTAAATGAAACCTTAAATATTTTTTGAAATAATCAATAAAAATCATGTACAGTATTTAATATGGAAAATAATCTTTTTTAATTCATTCGAACTTCAATAATTGGTTGACTTCATATTTCTATTACGTGACTGTAATGATAATAATTAGTTAATTACTTAATTAGTCTTATTAATATATACGATTTAAAAATAATGCGCATTTCTATGTTCCGAGGAACGAACGAATATGTACGAGAAATTACTAATGAGGAATAAAAACAAACATTTGGTGATCAACAGAAACGGGAAAGGGTCGTCGATGGTGGGAAGCGTTTGGTGAGGGAGTTGGTAGGCGGACCCCACATTTGTTGGTCCTTGGAACAACCCCGGGCCGGTTGGTGATGATGGCTAAGTTGACCTAACTAAGATTTTATTTATCTATTTATTTAAAATTAAATATCATAGTATAAATTATGAGATTACAAAGTATTAAATCTTTTTTTAAAATTAATAGTATATATGAAAAATGGAGTTGTAGGTAGAAGGAGCTCATACAATAAGAAATTCGTACGGTCTCATTTTATTAGTATCAATATTCTCCTAAATGATTTTCATTGTGATCGCACCTTATAAATAACAGTTTCCTCTAAAAAGGCAGACCATTGATCTCCCGACATTCCAAAAAAAAAAAAGGTTGTCTCTCACCCTCTCAGCCACCTGAGAAAGAGGATGTTAATAAATCTATTAGAGTCAATCATTGTAGGCATGATCTTGTAATAACAGATGATTGCTTAGGCGTAGTGGTTTCATCGTATACATTTCGGTGTGATGGAAAATCATTATTTGAAAAGATAAGAAGTGGAGTTGGTGAGGATTGGAGGCATGCACTTCATACTCGATCAAATTTGTAAAGTTATTCTTCAGGTGGCCTCAAGTTCGATATCATTAATAATAGATGAGGTTATTCTATCATCCCTTGTTCAACTGAGGGTTGCACTTCCACAATGCACTTCTTAGCTTGAAGGTAGACTAAGAAGTCTTTAAAATGGTCTTTCTCGATGAGTTTCTCGATCAATAATCTCAACATGCAGCAATTAGTATTGTGACAATTATCATTTGTTATATAATCAGAGTTTAAATATGTATAGAGGCTCAAATGTCTTCACATTGATGTATGCCACTTACAGTACTACAAACTCCAAATTGTGGACATAATTTTTATGACTAATTGGTTCATCATATATATATTGTACTAAATAATCTAATTAGAGGTGCTAATATAGGTCTTCTTCGCTCGAGATGGTGAGGTCTTTGAAAGGTACCTCTCAAATGAGAGAATTTTGCCTTTAACTACTATTGTGGTGATGGACAAGATAACTACTCCCCATCTCAACTTTTTTCCATTGAAAAGGCAAGGGTAAAGTAGGCATATTTTTACAATTCCAAATCAAAAGTCTTCACTATTGATAAACATCAAATCTTTTTGAAGAAGATCATTTATAGATATAGGAGGATTCATTGGCTTTTCCCCTCAAGTAAAAGTTATTATATCTAGGTTTTTTTATCACAAATAACAATAATATTGAATCTATGCACATAAAATCCCAAGGAATTTTCCTCTCCATATATATAATAATAATAATTATTATGATTATTATGAGAAATATAATCATGTCAAAAAAATTACCAATCTATAGATGAAGATCATCAAATTAGACTTTGAGGTGATCTCAAGTGACAAAAAATTACTTATTGAGAGATCTATATGAGGAAGAGCCAAATTAGATTGGATCTAAAATTCAAAATTGTGCTTGTTTAAGTTTCAGTCCATCATGACTCTTTTCAACAGCCAAAATAGCTAAATTTCCTGAAAGCTACACCAAGAAAGTAGATGAAATAATCTAATCCAACATACCCAAGAAGATAAAGGAAAAAAGCAAAAGGATTATAGTTTAATTAATTGGAAAAAAAGGAAAATTATTACTCTAAGAGGCTACTCCATGAACAAGTGGATAGAAATAAAAAGGTAATCAAACAAAGAGCATAAGAAAAACCTAGAAGTTATTCAATCATACAACCTAAGTCTTCTATAGAGTCAATTGAAGAGCTTTATAATGCATTCAATAATTACTTGAGGGAGAATCTTATTAGTTTTAGCTTTGCTTATAATGGAAAATAAAGGAGATAAATTACAATAGGCAAAAGTGCAATGTGAAGAAATATATGAGATAGAAAAGTTACCAATAGATTAAGAATAGAACAAGGAAACGAAGCCAACACTAAACAAGAATGAAACTTAAGCTTCATTTGAAACAATATTTTTTCTTACTTTATAAAACTGTTTTTTAGTGAACAAATTTCTAATTAAGAAATTTTTGTACTTAAAAATCATTTTAAAAAGCAGCAAAAAATTATCTCAAACAAAGCCTTAATTATAAGTAGTAATACATGTTACTTTTGACAAGTTTTCACCTCATCTCTTCTCAGTCTAGCCTAATTGGTTATCAATATTTACAACTGTCAACACATTTTGATGTTATTTATATAGATGATTCTCTATAATTACCATAAGTAGTTTTTTTTCCTAGTATTTCTAATTTTTCATATTCATTTTTGGCACTTTCAGACCCTATGAAACTATGGAGACAATTTTAGAAGATTTTGAATTTTTATATTGGAAGATATGTCTATAATGTTCTGAGCTTTTACACATACATTAGCACAACAAGAAAGTGGAAGACTTCATAGAGACATAAAAGAAAGCTTCATTTTTCCTATGGCTTATGAAGTGGCCTCTTCATTGGTTACATTCTTTTCACAAAGAGCAACTCAGGTTAGTAAGTTCCTTTCAAAAGTTAAACATTTATAAAGTTGAGACCCAGTTCTTTAATAAAAATATGATATAACTAGTTCAAATCGACAAAGTTTCCCTTCCTGCAAATGACTGAAAATCTTCAAAAAAGAAAAAGAAAAAAAAAAGAGCAATGCAGCATCAGAACTCAAGAGATTCTGCCTTGATATCACTACCACCTAAGCTCCTTCGAGGTTGCAAGCTGCATTTGATTAAAAAACATATAAAAAGGGTTTGGTCAAGCCGCATTGAGAAATTGGTAGCAGGAAAAAGGTGGAAGAACACAAAGTTACCCATGCAAGTGATGTATATTGAACTGGAGGTCTGAGCTTCTACGTAGCATGTTTTGTGTTCCCTCTCTGCCTATGATGCCTGTCTGCAACTGAACATGGTCTTCCAACACCGAGCATTCGCCTCCAAAATGTGGCACCGATGTCTTCACTCGATCTTCAAATTCAGATTGCAATTCAGAAGACAAGCAAACTAGCAAAAAGTGTATACATTGGAAGATTGCTGAAGCTCATTTGGATAGGTGCAAATTTAAATTCACAATGAATTACATATAAAGTGCAGGCAAATTACACAGGTCCAGGTATAAAACATGCTTCACATCAGCCCACATTTTTAAAAATATCCTAGTTAGGCACCTAAGATTGAATTGTTCTATTCACAATTCTTTTAATAACAAAAATATCCTCATGTTATAAGCTTTTAATTCTCAATTTGTCTATGAAATGATCTTTCTTTATTAGATTTAAATGAGAATTTGACTTTAAACAGAACAAAATGACGAAAAAGGATTCAGGTAGCCGACCCTACGTAGTGGGACAAAGGCTTGATGTTGTTGTTGTTGTTGTTATAAGCTTATATGGGATTAGAGAAATTGAGACTTTGTAGCGATTGCATCTATTGTCTCCCTCCGTGCTTCTCATTGTGAGATAGCTCCCACGACTTCCTATGAAGCTAGAGTCATAGTCGATAAGCTTTTGTAAGGTGGAGCCATGCATATGAGTTCTTTAGGTAGTCCATCATTCTCATCATAAAATTTAGGTGGGCTTCGCTTACATTTGTTAAAGGATTCATGGTAAGGGTTTAGGGTAGCATTTGTTAATGATTTTTTTTTTCTTGCATTCTTCAAGCACATTTCATTCTTTTTGCCTAGTGTTTTTACAATTTAATCCACTAAGATTTGCCTTTTCTTATTTAGTGTTTTTAAAAAGGTTGACAAAGTGAAGTATGATCTATAACTCAATAACCATTGTGTAATTTATCATTTATTTTTTAGGATATTGTAATTGTTAACACAATGTAATGCAATATTTGAGATTGATTGAAAGACAACAGAGACTAATGTTCTCACCAATAAATAGTGTGGAATGGCATCGGACTTCGGGTTCGTTTAGGACAGCTTTCTTAATGCTTTCTAAAACAATGTTTTACTTAAAAAATTTCTTGAATTAGAATTTTTTTAATTAAAAAACAGTTTTAGAAAGCAATGAGAAAGTTGTCCCAAACAAAGGCTTCATTCACTTCAAGAATAGCATTTGTGTTCAATCATTTTGCATGTGAAAAACAAATCCTTATATTTGAGGGATTTGTTGGATTTAAAACCAAATGTTGATTTCTAAGCTCCAAAGCTTCCAACCAAATGGTACAATCTGACTAATTTTGTTAACATGTTTATTTCATTAAAAGTAACCAAATGAGCCCCAAAATAAAAATAAAGTGATGGAACTTGCAGATGGCATAATCAAGGAAGATGGCATACCAGTTGTATTTCTTGCAGAAGACCCTGCATCTAACTGCTGTTGCAATACTATGCCATCAGCAAGCATCTACAAATAAACAAAGAGAAGTTTGCTTAAGAAATATAAGTTTGAACTCTATAATTTAACTCCCAACAGAAGAGTTTAGTAAAAATGTTCCAACTAACATCAGAAAACTGCAAAATTTATTGAACCTGAAAATTGATAAATTTACCTCAGCAGACATGGGTAACTGAAAGGTTTCCTGTGAAGCAGCAAGGCTAGTCACAATGGTTTGAATTTGATGGGAGGATGCGTGCTGATTCTGTGAAAAGGATTCTTGGTTGAGAGGCAGCATTCCTTTACCCATGTTCAGTGCTATCCTGTTGTCGCCATTGAATCCCATGCAAATCTCGGAAGCTTGAAGCGGCGATTGCACCATTCCCGATAGATACATATCATGCAAATTCAGACCATTCCTCATTGACAGCATCTGAAACAACAAAACTCCATAGGAGTCGAACCGGAATATTACTAGTTTACTTAATAGTAACTCTCTATCCAAACAATTTCCCTAATTATTTAATCGAGAAAAATGTTAAAATAGCCCCTGACTACTTTTATAGAGTTATTTTAGGTTTTGTTTGGGACGGCTTTCTTATTGTTTCTTAAAGTATTTTTCTAGTACAAAATTTTAATTTTTTAATAAAAAACTGCTTTAAGAAGCAGCAAGAAAGCCGTCCCAAATGAAACCTTAGTTGCAAACTATAAATGTGTTCAACTGGATCTTGCAACTCCTCAAAAATGATCCAAAAGTCCCATTGCTGAATTATTTTGGATCAAATTTGAGGAGTCAAAAGACTATTTTAGATTAGATTTGAAAACTCATGGAACTAAATTGGATACAATAAATAATCTGGAACAAAAAAGGCCCACACAAACAGTCCAGAGATCATTTTAATATTTTCTCTTATACAATTCAAATAAAAACTTGACTATTGTTTACTGTTTTCATTATTTTATGTTTTACCTCACAACACAATACAATAAAATGTTTTAATGAATTTGTTTTTATCTTCTTCGATAACTAATGATGTGGACATCGGCACGAGGCGCATCTATCACAGGAGGCGTCGTAAATCGACGGCTCTAATTTAAATTGTTATTTAAAAATTATTTTATGAATTTTAGCTATTATTTTATGTTATTTCATGTTTTACCCCTAGGTTAGTTTATTTGAGTGTTATGGCCCAAGGGGCATTTTTGTAATTTTTATTTTCTCATGTTATGGCCTATATATTGCTTATCTAAAAAGTTCAAATAATTTAGGAAATTATTTTCATCCTTTGAAATTCAAATTTCCTAAATTAGAAAGCCATTTTAGAAAAGTAGTGAATCTCATTAATGATGTATTTCAAACTTAATTTGGGTGATTTAATTTTGGGTGGTTTTCAAAATTTCAACTTTCAGTATTTCACAAATTTGAAATTTGAATTCTTTCCTAATTCATCATTCTATTTTTGGAAAGTTACTAAATAAATTCAATTTGAATTTCAAATTCAAATAGGGTTTAATTATTTCTTTCCTAAACTCCACACCCCAATTAAGTAATCTCAATTAAATCATTCAAACCCCTATTCCTCCCTTGCATGCCGCCAGCTCACCTCCACCTTGGCAGGAACCAGCAATTTCCAATAAATTATTTCCTATTCTACCAAATTGTTTGGAAACTAATTTCAAATTCCCGTAACTCCCCTATTTCCCCTGGACTTAAATTGGGATTTATTTCCTAAGTACAGAATCCTATCTTAGGTAATCAATCCAAGGCTCATTATTTTTTCCTCTAGCCGAAATTCCACCATGCCTTTTCTGTTTGATTTATTCCACTAGGAAAGTCCCTGTTTAGAAGCAAATTAAGCCTTAATTCCCTCCCTTCTCTCCACCGAAAAATTCCCAAAATCTGTCCACGAGCAGTGTCCATTTTTGGGAAGATTTGAAGAGCAAATCTGAACGCCTCTCAGCATTCTTTGTGAAAATCTGAATTTCTCTCAGATTTTGAATAAAAATCTGAAGTAATATTACAGATTTTGAAACGAGTTTTGGACTTCTTCCCCATCCCCTTCCCAAAATCTAATTTTCTTCTCAGTTTTTCTCTTCACCATCAAGGCTGAAATTTTCCAAGGCCTCACCTAGGCTTGTGTTCAGATTTTTGGAGAGGAGATCCTTTCCCTAGCAAAGTTCAATTCTCGTTCTACATCAACTAATCAATATTGAATTATCATCATCCCCTCGTTAATAGTCTTATCACAATTGTTTGGGTTTAGGAATTTTTTCTCTAATAGTTTATGCTAAAGTACTAGGTTAATATATATTTGCACAATATTATTTTTAGTCGGCCCCTTCACATTGGTTTTATTCAATAATCTTATTATTGCATACATTCATGTTCTGTTTTGCTTGATAAGGACACCCTCCAACAACAACAACAACATCAAGCCTTTATGTCACTACATGAGATCAGTTACATGAATCATTTTTATTCATTGTATCCTATTAAGAGTCAAATTCTCATTTAAATCTAATTAAAAAAACTATCATTTCTAATATTTTCTTACCAAGCCTTTTTAGATCTACCTCTACCTTTCTTAACATAGGTCAAATCTAATACATTTACTCTCCTAATCGGGCAAATCATCTAAGGCAACGCTCCCTCTAATCCTATCTGCCATAGGAGCTACTCCAACCTTTTTACATATATATCGTATTACATTGTCTCTAAAAATGAAGCCACTCATCCACCTAAGCATCCTCATCTCAACAGCACTTAACTTAATTGTATGCTTCTCTTTTAATGACCAACATTCTGCACCATTAAGCATTGCAAGTCTAACCACCATCTTATAAAATTTTCCCTTAAGTTTGAGGAAACTCATATGTTATCAAAATCCTAAATGCTATTGATAGTCAAAGGTAATATTCAAAGGGAACTACGAAAGCATAGGCCTTTTGAGGGCAATCTTGTTCACAAGTCAAACTCTTTTACCATGCATGGACTCTCAAACACAAACAAAAACTTAGTAAGACACAACAATAAGGTGTATTATTATTTATTTCCTTTAAGACGAACTTGTAACACATTTCAGATACTTTTTCAACTTGGCACAATTGAAAAGTTGGTTGCTTATTTTTTTTATTTCTAAATTAGCGTGATGGGCTCTTCATGCACTACGCTACAAATTTTTTATAACCTTAAGCTCATACTTCCAAGTTGAGATCAAAACTTTTTATTCAATATGATAAATACAGTATCATAGCTACCTGATGTACATAATCCCATTTCATAAACATGCAGCCCAAGCTAAGTCCTTACTCACCTTTAATAAAAGATGGATTATAGGAACAAAGAGGAAGAAATTATTCTGAAAAAATAGATGGGCCAATGCTTACAATTTTTTGTGCACACAAATCATTACATATCATGACAAATTATTAAATAAGCAACATTAACATTAGTAGCGTATCATTATTTTGCGGTTCAAGTGCTAAAAAATTTTGTTTCAAGTCTAGTAAGGAACATCTCTTCAAGAACTCTAGTAATTGAACAGTGCAACAACAACAACAACATCAAGCCTTTGTCCCACTACGTGAGGTTGGCTACATGAATCCTTTTTCGCTATTGTGTCGTATTAAAAGTTAAATACTCATTTAAATCTAATAAAAAAAGATCATTTCTAATATTTTCTAACCAAGTATTTTTAGGTCTAACTCTACCTTGTTTAACATAAGTCAAATTTAATACCTCAACTTTTCTAACCGGGTCATCGAAACGCCTCCGTTTAATGTGACCAAACCATCTTAGGCGACTCTGTCTAATCTTATATTCCATTGGAGCTACTCCAACCTTTTCACGTAGATGCTCATTTCGTATCATATCTCTAAGGGTAAAGCCACTCATCCACCTAGGCATCCTCATCTCTGCAACACTTAACTTAGTATTATGCTTCTCTTTTAATGGTCAATATTCGGCACCATAAAGCATTGCAGGTCTCACCAACATCTTATAGAATTTTCCCTTAAGTTTGAGGGGGACTTTTATATAGCACAACAAGACCAATGCATTCCTCCACTTCAACCATCCAACTTGAATTCTGTTGATAATATCCCCATCTATTTCACCATCACTCTAAACAATAGATCCAAGATATCTAAAATGTGTACTCTTATTAATGACTTGATCGCCCAAAATCACAATCACTACTAAAATTACACTCCGTATATTCAGTTTTAGATCTCCGTAATTGAACAGTGCAAGAAAAATAAATATAATACAGTCAACAAATAGTGTGGCAGTCTATATATTTACTATTTGTAGTATGTCGTAAGAGTTCAGAGTCATTTTATCAATTACAAAGGATAACTGGGTCATTTTATGTGAGGTAGATTTAATGATCATATTTACTTTTTGCCAGAGTTATCTTAAGTATATGGCATCCATTTCATTAGCAGTTTTTTGCAATTTGTTAGATTTTCCCTTTTTGCTTGCTTATAAATAGATGTATTATTCTATTATTATTTATCAGAGATAATTTATGGAATGAATACATTCTTATTTTGGTAGTAAAGGCTCATATTCTACAATTATAATGAGATTTTGACCCTTAATCAAGTAGAATTAAAATCTTCCGGGTGAGGTGATATCTCTGTTCAAGCTTGAAGCTTTTTTGCTTATCTATTTCCTTAGCTCAATCATTCCACTTTAACTTTATCTTAACCATATTTGCCGGTTCTTTCAAAGCCATCTTTCATAAGCTACTTCATATTTTGTTAAGTAAAATTTACATAAATAAATGAGTTCAAGGTTCCTTCCTCATGTAAACTGTGTGAGGCTCTATCAAGTGGGAGTCAAAGAATAAATGCAAGGAAAAAGCTCAATTCCTGCTTGTGACTAAGTACACTTTCCCATGTGAAGGTTCCAAGAGCTTGAAACCAAGTGGCTGATAAGGGCTTGGCAAGAAGATCAGCTGTTTGATCCACTGAATGAATGTATTGAACCGTTATCGCCTAAGATTTGATGTGATCACTAATGAAATGATAATCTATTTCGATGTATTTGATCCGGGCAAGAAAAACTGAATTGTTTGCGAGGGCTAAGGCCAAATTATTATCACAGTAAAGTGGTGTAGCTGCTGTTTGATGTACTTGGAACTCTGCCATGAGACTTCTAAGCCAAATAACATATGATGTAGCAGCTGCCAAAGCCTAATTTTCAGCCTTCGTGGATGATTTTGCCACCGTTGTTTGCTTCTTGACACTCCATGAGATCAGATTATCACCTAAGTGCAAAAATCATAGACGGATTTGCGATCTAAGAGATCAGCGGCCCAATCGGCATCTGTATAAGTGCTCAGCTGCAGCGAACTGCTTACGACGAGAAGGCCATGGGAGAGGGTATCTTAGATATAGTGAAGTAGTCATTAGAGGGCTTGATAGTGG